TGATATCTCTTTACAATGAAAGGAGAGAGCAAACCACCAAGGACATTTTCCACTTTGGATCAATTGTTGAACAAGTTTAAATCCTGCTTGAGACCTTCATTTTAGCTCAGTTAATCAATGTTTAGGACAGACACTTTGGTTGTGTTTCCATATCAGCAGATCCTAAAATATGTTATAGCACCGCTGCTAAGTAACAAAGCACGTTTAATCCAAGTGATTTGCCTCATAGGTCCCCTATAATTAAAATTTGATTCCTTAGAGGAAGATTCACAGTTCTGGTGGGTCTTTCCTTCTCTGAGTTGGGGGCTTACATTATTCTGCAATGACAGAGCATCGCCTGCACCTCTGGGGGCTGAGCTGTCCTCTCTGGGCTGCTACCTGCTCCACACAGGAGACGACTCAGGACACCTCACATTTACCTGTGAACCGCTCAGGTGGACTGTCTCATTCTGGTGTCAGGGAAGTTACCTTCCTCACGTCTCAGCCCTGGCACAGCACCTCCTTGGAGCAAGGGCTCAGAGCTGTGGAAGGGGACAGGCCCGAGGCTGGTTCTGGTGGGGCTGTCAGGGCAAACCCGTGGAAGGGGTTCAGGAGAGCGGGCTTCTGAGCTCTGCTCTGTTTTCAGCCAGTGCCCACCGCTTCACACTCATTGGCATGTGTTTTGTGGCCCTTCATAGCCATTCTGGAGATATATTCAGGGGAGTGGCATGATTTTGTCTTGGGTTCGGGCAATATCTCTTTGGCTACTCCAGGGGGCGGGCAGGGCAGGATGACAGGCAGGGAGCCCCCCATGGTGGATTCTGCAGAAGTCCAAGCCCAGGCACAGAAGGACAGGTGGAAGGAGGGGCTGTCTTAGAGGGTCATACAAGAAATGTACAAGGCTTCAAGCACCCCTCAGCACTAGGCTCTCATGTACCCCATTTCTGTTCTTCACTACAGCCCTAAACACTGTTGAGTCCCTTCCTTTCCTGGTGAGGAAACGGAGGCTGCGAGACTTTGCCCACAGACACAGGTAAATGTGGAGCCGGCATATGAACCCAGGGCCACCTGCGCTGACCCCAAGCCCACCCCATGAGCCTCAGCTCTGACCTGATGCTGCTTGAGGGGACTCCCTGATGCTCCTGGGCACCCCGGCATGGCAGTGACCAAAAAGATGCAGCTTCACCAGGCATGCGGGTGCTGGAGCAGGAGAACAAGCAGTGGGTCGTGGCCGCAGAGCATGCTGCTGGCGCCGGAGAGCAGGCCGGGGACAAGGCCTGTGAGTCACGGATGTCAGATGGCAGCTGGGATGAGGGTCTGCTCTCTGCTTGCCCAGGTCCAGGGTGCATTTTGTAAATGTAGCCAATCTGGAGTTGCGTGGTCACTGCAAAGCCTGATGAAGCCTGTGAGCTGTGATGGAACCAGCATCCTTGCACCCTGAGTGGCCAGGATCGAACACAGAACAGGAATCAGCTGGCGCCCCTGTGTGTTACCAACCCCCAGGCACCGTGGAGGGTACCTACAGCTCCCTTTCCACCTCACGTGCCTGCTGGGCTAGTGCTAGCGAGAGGCCAGTTGGATGCCCAGGTGGTGTCTTAAGGCGGGCGCCCTCCCAGGATGGCAAGCTCGGCTGGGCCTCACTGATCCGAGCCCGCTGGGCGATCCTGCTAGTCAGAACAACAGAGTTAAGAATGGACATTCTGTAAGGCTCCTGCTAGTTGAAATTTTATAATTCTACAAATCTCCTCCAAGTCTTTCACATCTTTCCCCACTGTGTTGCTTCTCTTTCCAGTGTTAATTAATATTTCAGGAAACCTTGGTGTTTGAAGCTTAACCTTGTGATTTTGACTATTTGGCAGAGTCTCTGAAGATCCATGTAGTATGATAATTCGTACCTTCCTGGAGGTGAAGTTTGAATTTCAAGGGCTGCAGGACCTGCTGGCTGGGGCGTGCGTTTGGCGGGTGAGAGAGCTGTGGGCTGCCCTTTCGCTGCTCACCTGGCTCACCTGCTGACCTCTCCATGTCCCCACGTAACAATGACCTGGTGGCTACCGGTGCTCACGTGTGCATTCTGGCCCAGACACCTTCGTGTGCTCTGCCTGCACGATCTCGTTTATGCCTCACTATTTCGCGGCGAAATGTAGTCTCATTTTGCAGAGAAGTGGCAGCTAAGACATTTTAGGCGGGGAGGACAGGGAACCCCACAGAGAAGGCCACATGAGTGCACAGGCTCAGAGGTGCAAGAGTGCCCCATGCACTGGGTAGAATGTGCTGGAAAGAGGAATGACAATGCATATGCCTGGTCTCAGGCAGTGTCTGGAGTCGAGGGACAGCCAGGTGGCCAGGAAGAAGGGGTTGGGCAAGGGATGAGGGGGCAAGGGAAGGGGCCAGGAGAAGACAGACCAGCCCCTGGGACATGCCATCCTATTGATTTCAGGGTCCACCCTGAGGAGAATAGGAGTCCCTGGGAAGTTTGCAGCAGCAGAATCAGCTATTGTGAAACACACTGGCAGATGGGGAGCTGACTGAAGGGGACAAAGACAGGAGGCCAGGAGTCCAGGGAGAAGCTAGAGGATCTGCTGGGGTGATGGCTTGCTGCAGGTGGTGACAAGTGTCAGTCTGGATGTATTTTGAAGGCAGAGCCAATAGAACTTGTGCACCAGTGTATGTGAGGTGCAATATTGTGAGGTGCAATATTGCATTTCAGAATTAAATAGTTTTTAAAGTGTCCTTCACTCTAAAAGGATCACTAAAAGTCATATGGGGGACTTAAATGATTTGTTTCTTCTCTTTTAAAACTCAGAATTAGATTTTATTATTGCTTAAGAGATTTTAAAAAATAATAATAATTTGTTGTTTTAACTGTGGTAACATTAGGATTCTCCCCATCAGGTGTCACCACCTTAGGGAAACTGCCACCCAGTCGCCCCTAGTCCACCACCATAGTCCAGATTTGCTGGTATGTCACTGTGTAGGGGAGGACACAATTACCACCACGAATGTGCTCGTGACCCTCACCATGTCTAAAATGTGGGTGACCATCACCTGGCTCGGGACTTGGATGGGAGACAGGGACCAGGAAGATGCTGTGGCTGGGATGGTCTCACCTCCTCAGGGGAGAGAAGCCAGACTCCATGCTCGGAACAGGCTGAGATGGCGACAGCATCTTTCTGTGCTGGGTGAACCAGGAACCCACGGTTCCAAGAAGGGGCCAACGGAGGGGGAGGGGCCCATCTTGGCAGCTCAGGCCCGCAGATGTCTTTAAGTTAAAGCGGCAGATGGAAGAGTTGTCTGCCTCAGAACAATCAGGACAGGGCTGGGGAGCCCAGAATCTCTGTTCTGCTAAGCTGGCTAGAGGACGCTTTACTGAGCTGGCCCTGTGCTGCGGAATTTCAGGGCCGTCCGTGCCCGGAGTCCAGTGTGCTCAGGAAACCTGGGGTCCCCCTTGGGTATCTGCAGTAGCATTTCCAAGTCTGACAGGTGCCCAAGAAAGTGCCCAAGACCTAGAGTTGGAAACCCCAATTCTGCCCCCTTTCAGCTGGGAGACCTTGGACAAATCATACGACCTCTTTAAACTTCTGATTTTTTACTTGACAGTGGAGTTGCAGGGTACGCCACTGAACCCATGTTTGAGGCCCCTGCCTGCAGGGGGCTGACAGTTGTGGTCACGTGATTTGTTTTGATCAGTGAAATGTGTGCAGAAGTGACATTTGACCCTTTGGGGTAAAATATCTAAAAAGTCCATGAGGACTTGATCTGCTTTCATTCCCTTGTCTCTGACCGTGGAAACTGAGGAATTACAGACTCCCCTGCCACCTGTAAGGGATATGTAAAAATGAGTGAGAAATAAACAATTTCTTTTTTTGGCTTTAAACCCTTAAAGATTCTGCGATGTTTGTTATGGCGGCATACCTTCACCCGTACTCACTGACACTCCTGGAAACAATCACAGTTCTTTGTGTACATAGCGCAGGATTGTCCGGAGGCTGGGATATAAGTCTTCTGTCTCCCTGGAGCTTTCTGGTTCCTTTGCCGCTCCACAGTAACTCCTGTTTATTTCTAGGTGGCAGCTGCAATGCTGCTGGATCAGAGAGACCCATCCTGGCCCCCTCCATATGATCCCCTTCTGCTGTTAGAGCTTCTCAGTAGCACCTTCCTCTTTCATAACCTTTATCTCATCTAGAATCCCTTCTTGACTAGCCTGCCACACCACACCAGTGTCTTTAAAACCTGGGGAGAAATTCTTGCCCAGCTGCGCCCCCTGCACAGTGCCAGGCACAATGGGCTGCAGAACAAATGTGCATGAACGACAGAGCACCCAGGACGGTTGGGGGGGGCCTTCGTTTTCTCTTTCCACCACCAAAAATTCTTTTGATAATATCTCTCTCCTTCCCTCAAGGCTTCCATATTTTGGAAGATTTCTGACTTCCAGGCAAACTACATTTATTACAAAGCACTTCATTTGACCATTTCTTATTACCAAAGACACATGTAGTTACTGATAAGAGCTACTGATCAGCAGGAGATAATCACCATGACCACATCAATAGATACAATTCAAGCCCCAAGCGAAGCAAACAGATGTTAGGATTCATGCAGCTTAACAGAATCTTGAACTAACAGTTGCTCCAACCAAAAGGACATTTAATTTTTATTTAACAAGAGGTCTGGTGGGAACACGGGGGGCACTTCTGAAGTGGGTCTGGCAGCTCAGCCGTGTCACTGGGGACTCCAGCTTCTTCTGTCTTTCACCTTGGCCTTCCTTAGATTTCTTTTCATCCTTGTTTTCTCCTGGTTTTCCCAGAGCTTGCGCATACTTGAGGCAGGTACAGGGGTAGAGCCAGGAAGCTCGTCTCTACTGTCTGTGGCTTTAACCAGGAAATCAAAGCTTTCTTCAGAAACTCCTCTGCAGAATTGACTTTGTAGTTGCTTCATAGGAACTGGACTCCATGGCAACTCCTAGCTGCAAGGGACTCTGGGAAAATGATGATCTAGCAAAGGACCCTGTGTCATCACCCAGTCTGGCCTTTGACCATCTTGGGAAAGAGTGGGTCCCAGAGAGAGAAGGTGGGGCGAGCAATGCCACTATCCACCGCACCTACTGCAGACAGTGGGAGCCACTGCTTGAATAACTGCCCTCTCCCCCATTTGGGCAAACCCACTCCCAGCACAGATGAAGACAATGAACACTTAATTAGGGAAGACGTCTGAGGCCTCATGGTGATTTAGGGGCGATAGGGGTTAAGATATAGTTCCTCAAGATCTCATTCTTTTAAAGAAATAATCCAAAGACACCTGCAGCCAAGTCAAGTTGGTTAAATATCAATGCAAGCAGAGGGGCTGACCATGAGTATCCACAGGGGTAAGGGCCTAAGGCAGGGACTTCATTTCTGCTTCCATCTACCGTTGGTGAATTATGCCATCCATTTAAGGCTTGGTTTCGTTTCATTATTTAATTGGATTTTCAAGATGGGAAAATTGAGATCTGGAGAAGTTCTTTGCCTAAGGCCTGGCAGCTTGTGAGAGGCAGGGTAAGGATCAGAGACAGCCAGGAGGTTTCCTGGCCACCCTGGGGGTGCTCCCCCCCAACATGTGGAAGAGTTTGGAGTACGGGCCTTGTACCGTTCATCGTATGGGACGTGTGGACTTACTGTGTTTGGGGAACTCGCCTATTTACATGTGGGGGAGTCACTGACCAGTCTCAGCTGTTCAGACACGTCAACACTTGGCTCTTGAGCTGGGTTTGTAAAGTGGCGCTTGGCAAGTGAGTAAATCTGACTATCATGCTTTATTGACACAAATGTTTGTGCTAACCTGTGTGTCGGTGAATTACCCATTGCTGCTGTCATAGGGACAGCGAGAACGGGACCGTTTTGACTTTTGGGAATAGGGAAGGCAGGCCCTGGCGGCGATCCTGCTCCCCTATAAACATCATCATCTCCTGGCGAGATTTTAAAAAAATACCAACTTCAGGGTCTCGCCCCTTTAAGGACCAGAAAGGACCTACAAATATGTATCTTTCCAAAGCTTGCTCAGGAGACTCTGGTAACTGCTAAATATCAGGATTTCAATCGCTGAGTGATGGGATGGAATTCTAGACGCAGCCCTGGGACCTCTTTGAACTGCTTTCAAACAAAATGTGTGTTTGAACCAGGTGGATAAGTGCGACCGGTGATGGCCAGATGGTCCAAACCACGGGAGCAGTTTGCTTTGGCCTTAAAATATATAATTGGAATTTATACTAAACCTTATTAGGGGAAAAAGGGCAGACATTTAATAACATTGTTATTCCAGTCAAATAGCTAGGGGATGCCATCAAAACAACATTTCAAAAAGTACTTTTAAAACGCCGAGGTTGAACCCATGCAATGTTACCAATCATTATTTTAGACTAGTGGTTCTTAACAGAGGTGGGGCCCTTACTAGGGAACTTTTGGTTGTCATAGTTGGGCAGGGCTGGGGATGCTGGGAGCTTGTGGGTAGAGGTCAGGTTATACACTCTGTATTGCACATGACAATCACCCCCAACAAAGAATCGTCTGGCCCCCCAATGTTGATAGTGTTGAGGTTGAAAGACCCTGCAGTAGAGGCTCTAATTCAGTCTTGAACATGAGCTTCTCACTGGCCATCCTTTATCTGGGCATACGTGTGTGTATGTGTATATGTATGCATGTAATCATGCATGTGCACCTGTGTATACGTGTATGTGATCTGGTGTGTCTATTTATGTAGGTATGTATATCACATGTTCCTGCACATGGTGTGGATCAAACCATCCATGACTCTAGGACATTCTTGTGTGAATTTATGTGTGAAATCTGCCATCTTTTGGCTCTGCTGGCAAGACTCTGGGGACTCCTCCACTCATACGTGACCATCACAACCACCAGGTAAATAGTCATCTCTGCCTTGGATTTCTGCTTGGAGAGACCTGTGGGCTCTCCTTTCCCAGGAAAATCACTGAACATCTGACTACTCCTCTCTGACTAGGCTAACCGCCTCCCTCCTGCCCCCTCCTCTCCAACGTATGTGAACATCCACCTGTAGTCTCTTGTCAATCAAACTACAGGAAAATACGTTCTTTATCTTTGATGGGCTTAGAAGAAACCCCATAAACTTGAAAAGTTCAGCAAAACAAAGGAGGCATTTCAAAGCATTGCATGAGAAGTGTATATCCCAGAAGCTCATGGCCATAATTTTTTTTCTCTGTGCAATGAAAGGCCACTGAGAAGAGTTTTCAGGTTGCTTCCTGGTCTTACATTGAAGATTCTGAAGTTGGCAGAAGTTTCTCCCCCACAAGGACCCACAGATCCACCAGAAAGAACACAGCCTGTGAATTACAGCCCGCACTCATGTTTTCCTCCTAAATACTAAGAGGAATGTTCAAGCTTATCATTCTGGCAGAACCCTACACCCACACAGACAGATGTCAATTCTGGCATTTATTGGAGTGCCAGTAAATCTTGAAAACAATAAATATCTCATTACTTTGCTGATGATGTGTCTTTAAGTGCTACTTCAAAATGCCCGTCATTGCTGTGCTTGATTTATAACAAGGACTCATTTTAATCTTGCAATCTTTCATCATTTGCAAGCACCTTGTTGGACTCTAATCAGATTTCTGCAAATCCTTGAGCACAATTGTGTATTCCAGGGAGGGTGCCATCCCCCATACTGAGGCTTTGGGAGTGGATTTCATGACCCTGATTGTGTGTTGAAATGATACTGATTTTGATGTCGGTCGACCTGATCAATATCCCACGTCCCATCTGTCACCGGCTTGCTGGGTCATCGTGAGCAAACTCAAGGTCTCTGAGGCTCAGTCTCCTCATCTGTAGAATGAGGGCTCATGGTTTGTTTTGTTTTTCAGAGTTAAGGTTGAGAAGAGAGGACCTCTCCTGATGACTGGACTGAGCAGAAGTTCAGAAAATGAGGTCCTATAAAATGCTCATCCCGCCGAAGAATAGCTCGCTCCGTCTTGGGAAGCCAGCATCAGAGGCTGTAAATCAACTCCTCTTCTGTTTTAATACTGAATTAACAACCAGGCAGGGGGAGAAATGGAGCATTTAAATATTTAAACCAAACATTTAATTTTTAAATACGGACATTCTTTTTATAACTCGGACTGCCCTTCAAGGCCTGTGGAAAAATTCCCTGAGTCTACGCAGTCAGCCCCACTTCATGGTAAAGAGCTTGGCTAACCTTGAGTGCCTCTGGACCTGGCAGGGCTAACTCTTTTGTTTTATTCAGAAAAAGGCACATTTGTGTCCTAATAAAGATATTCCTGACAAGTTTCTCTCTAGAAAGAGCAGTAAATCCCTGTATGATAAAAATGAAACTACTTCTAAAAGGAAAGAAATTATTTCATGTGACTCTCTTGGTTCTTGCTGTCTGCATACATGGTTCCAGGCCTTTTATATATTATCTCTTTCAAAAGGCACAAAAATCCCTGCAAGGTGTTCACATCATCATCTCTTTCTGTCCACTGAGGTTCGGGGAGGCTAATTAAGTCACCCAGGGTCACGCATTTTGGACAGTGACATTTATGCTTTGTCTCTCTGGCATCCACCCCCTCTTCTTCCTGCAAGGACCTCTGAATTTTTATCTGGAGACCCACTATTTCCGCCCCCATTCCCACGCCCCACTTCCTTGCTGTTGATATTATTTGTGCAACAAAAGCCACCTGCAGTTGGGAAGTGTTGGTGGCCCTGAGGCAGGGCCTGCTCTCACGGAGGCCGGGGCAGTGGGTTTAGATGTGTGACTTGTGAGCCAGCAGGAGCTCAATAGCTGCATGGAGACTTCGCTGGCATCCAGCTCACCCCCTGGAAGGGGAGAGGCAGCTAAGGAAGAAGCTGGTAGAAGCAAGAAAGAGTTTATAGCTGGTCTGGTTGAATCTCTGGCATCACCGACTCCTTGTCTCTTGATGACTTTTTTTTAGTCATATGTACCTTCTCGTAATTAATCCATGCCTCACCGCTCTGCGACTAGAGGGAAGAGGGCTGGTTCCTAGCCCAGCCTTCCTGCTTCTGTGCCGTGTGGCCGGGACAGATCACACCCCTGGGAGCTCTAGTTCCCTCGAGGTAAAATCCCAATCACTTCACTGGGTCAAGGTGGTCACTATTGTTCACGCTTCTCGTGCCCAGACCCTTTGACATGTATGTGGCTTTGCTACTTTTGCCTCCAAAGCTGGAGTCTGTTTCTCCACCCCAGGAGGGGCTGCAGGTTTGGATTTGCTTTTGTAAGAGGATGCAGTGAATGTGACGGGGTCAGTGTGGAGTTTGAAGTTCAGGAAGCCTCAATGCTTCTGCCAGCGCTTGGGACTCCTGGCCCACTCTGAGCGCGGGACCGTGTGGCCCTGCCGGAGGATGAGAGCCCACGGGGAGCAGAGGCGCATCTCCAGGGACGGGCCCTGGGCTGTGAGGCCCGCGGCAGTGACACACCGAGTGGGCTCAGCCTCTTTCCCCCTACCTGCTTCAACCGGGTGCAGCGGGTGGGGAGCCAGTGTCTGCAAACCTGCCGTCAGGTGCCTCACACCTTAGTGTTGACGGCAAACTCCGCACAGGAGGCTGGCATGGCATGGGGAGGGGGGCAGTGGGTCAGGCCAGTTAACATGATTTTTGAGGGTGTGGCCAGTCAGGCGGGAGGAGCACCTGGCACCGTGGCTGCTGAGGAGCACAGGGCCTCTTCTGAATGAGCGTGGAAATCTGTGTTTGGGTCTCCAAGACTGATGTACCAAGCTGAACTTCCAAGAGGTGAGTGATGACCTCGCAACTCTGGGGGCGGGGGAATAAAGGGGACCCACTGGAATAGAAGGTCACAAAGATTAGTGTGGGGGAAGGAGAAATGGCCCCAAAACAGTGGACCCAGGTCCTCCCCTGGTTCATGTGCTCTGTGAGCTCAGGGCACGGCTCAAACTCCCGTGCCCTGCACTCGCCGTGTGTGAAGTGAGCGTGGTCTCTGGGTAGATTCCGGAGCCCCAGCGCTACCCACAGATGCAAAGCCATCCTTCCTGACCTGCCCTCACCCCACCGGTGTCCCCTGTTCTGCCTCTGCACGGGGAGCAAAGGAGACCCGAAGAGAGTCAGGCTCCCCAGGAGGGCGTCCTAGCGGCTAGTGACTAGCCAAGGTCACGAGCAGCCTCAACCTGCCAGCTGTTAGGGACCGAGTGAAATGCAGCCACCGAAGACTTCTACCAACGCAGACCAACTGAGAGCAGCTAACACATCCCGCGGCGGGGCATGGCTGCCCATCTCGGCCTCGTCAGCCGTGGATGTGCACGAGGCCGAGGGCGCACTCTCCTGGTGTCAGCACTCACAGCTGGCGTCTGCAATGACCCAGAAGCGCCCGCAAGCCCGGTCGGCTGTACGTTTAAAGGTGATCCTGGATTTATTTATGAGGCAGTGGAGTCCTTTTCCTTTTGAACTTTCTGATGGGGTGAGCCTGCCAAAATGTGACTCCAGAAGCATTTTGAGTAATTATTTTTGTCCAGAAGCACCACTGCCACTGCCTCCCGAGAACTGTGTGCAGCCCTCGTTGCATGCAGGCAGGGGTGTGGCACCTCCCTGCATTGTTTCATTGCCCTGCTGCCACGTCTTCTCACCAACAGTTGACAGATAGGGAAACCAAGGCTGAGGCCCGCTAAACGGGCTGCACAGGGGCAGCAGCCCCCCTTGTGTAGTCTGCCAGTGCGTGTATTTTGCAGAGGGACTGCCGAGTCCTCAGGAGAGAGATGGTGGTTCTACCTCTTCTCCCATCCTGGCCTCAGTTTCCCAGAGCCCTACTTCTGGACAGGCCGGTGGTGTCCGTGTTCAGCGATGCACCTGTTTATTCTCCCCGGTGTGCTAGTGGTCACGCCGTGCCTTTCCTGGGAACCGTCTTGCTGTGGCCCTGGAGGACAGCCAGCCTCCAGTGCCACGATGCTCTGCCATGGGCTGGGAGGTCCTCAGGGAAGGACAAGCAGTCACTGCAGCATCCTTCACGTACTCCACGTTGGGGAGGCGGGGCCGGATTTTAGAAAGAAGTGTGAGTGCTGAGGGGAGGAGCTGGCTGCTGTTCTGGTCCCATTTGGGGCTCAGAGGTCACTTTTCATCCTTTGACCTGGGAACGTGGTGACCTGTGTCGCGCAAGAGCTGCCCATATAGTCATGAACGTTGACTCCATAATTCCTTTGCTGAGAATGACCCCGAGGGGATCATCCTAAATGCAGAAGTGGTTCTCTGCAGTGAGGGCAGGAGGCCAGAAGAGTCAAAAAGAGAGAGACCGTGGAGCAGGAAAGCCTTCTTCATGCTGTCGCCGGGAAGCGGCACCGGGGCCAGACTCACGTGGGTCTGCATCTCGCTCTGCCCCGAGGACAGTGGTAGTGGTCAGGCCTTGGGCAGGTCACTTAGCCCCACTGGGGTTCTTTACTGTGTGTGTAAAGCAGAGATAATGATGCCGTCCCCACCTGGGGTTGTGAAAGGATGCATGGGAGTAGGGCTCGACTAATATCTACCCTTACTTCACAAAGTATTTGAAGTTTTCTATGAGAATCGATAAGTGAAAAAAGAAAGAGGTGAGATAAGGTTGAAAGAAAAGACATCACTATGCAAACCCAGGAGTCATTAGCCTTGGGCCATTACTGGTTCTTGGCTTCCTGCTGGTCAATGTCAATGAGGAGGCTCTACGGTGACATGTTTCCTTTAATCCTCAATTCCAGGGGACATGTCACACAAGGTAGTGCCTGCACCACCTGGTACCATCGCTGATGAGCTTTCTTCTGTTTCCCTAGCTGGCTTATAAATACCCGTGACCACTGGCCACTGGGTAATAGACTAGGGTTCTGTGTCTCGGAGCTGGTGTGGGGGCACAGCGGGGCAGAGAGACTTGAGAGGGTCCCCACGGTCTATTTTCTTAGAAGAGCCCACCTGGAATGCCTAATAGGCCAGCCGGCCTCCCCTCCCACTGAGAGGGAGATTGGGATGTGGTGCTATATTTCTTTGTGTGAGCTGAGGGCTCACTGATGGAGCCCGGCTCTGTGTCAGGCGCTGAGCTAAACAAGCATCCCTGCTCTGTCCTCACACCAACCCTTTGAAGACACTTTGATCACTCCCATCGTATAAATGGAAAATGGAGGTGCCAAGAGAATAAATAGCAACTGAACATTCAGTGCCCTTGGATAGCAGAGCTGGCGCTTCCATCCAGGACTCTCTGGTCTGAGGCCCTTAGCTTAGCATATGAGCAACACTGCCTGCTTCTTCACGTGTTACTTAGCTGAAGACTGGAGAGGGAACCTGAGTTATGGCTGATCTTTGGAGTTTGTAACCTAGTCTGTGGGAAGAGAAAAACCACATTTGAAAATCTAATGCTCCAGTGACCAAAGAATAATTTACTCATTGGTCAAAGAAATGATGCCACCTCTCCAGACGCTGGGAATACAGCGGCGAGTTACATACACCCAGTCCTCACTCAATGGAAAGCATTCTACAAGGAGACTCAGCTCAGGAATGGCTTTCAGGAAGAAATGATGCTATTTAGAGACTATCATAGGTCCTGTTTTCTATCACAACCTCTATCCCTGCACTGGAATAGTTTATGGTTGTCTTCTGCTGAGTGCCTGCTATGTTCCAGCAAGTCTGGTAGGTATTTAACATGTTTTCTCATTAAACACCACAATGGCCCCATTAGAAGGGTAAAGCAGGCCTTTTAAAAAGATGAATAAAATAAGGCACAGAGAGGCTGGATATTTGTCTTAGGTTACACAGTATACTGGATAGAACTGTGAGTGGAATTTAGGTCAGACTAAATCTAAAGCAGCTTCTGTTGTACCATGAAGCCTTCATCCAAGTTCTAGCACTGGTTCTGCTGCTCACCAGCTCCATATAAACTGGGTTACACAGCTTTCTTCTCAGTACTTCAATTGTCCCTTGTATGAAATGGCAGACTTAGGCAAGATGATGAGCCGGGACCTACTAAGTGACATGTTCTCTGAGGATAGGGCTCTGAGAAAGTCAAAGTGGGGATCTTAGGGATGCCTGAAGCTTCTGAAGAGGCCTCTCTGGCTGGCGATGTGGAGAATCCTGCTGGTTCTAATGCCGTCCTGGGCCACCCCTTCCAGAGAGTGAAGGAAATTGCGGCCCCTGCCACGGAGGCCTGAAGCTCGCTGAAGGCAGGGGCCTGCCTTTCTGTTGCGGTCAGTCTGTATCTGGAATTGAAAGTTGGTCACCTGACACTCAGGTGAGGCAGAGTGACTGGTAAGCAGGTAACCGTGAAGCTGCTTTTGTTGCCACTGCCTCCTGGATCCTT